ATGAAACGTCATCGAATAAAAGCAAGAATGCCAGTGGTATTAATTTAATTTGTTTTGCACGGCATGGTGCAATACCTTCAGAAACTGTGAATGACTATTCCAGTAATATAAACAAATCCCCAATAGTCATACGCTTTCCAAAGGTTGGTCGCTGGTACATTACTATTTTACCTGTCAACCTCTCAAAAGAACTTGGAGGGAGTTCAGATACTGACATGAAAGTTTGCTACTCCATGGAATCAAAACTGCTTGAATGTCCAGTGGGAAAGGCTGGAGCAAATTGTACAAGGGAAATGTACAACCTTCAGGTGAGTTTGTTGATAAATGTGTTTCTGCTTATGTGAAAGTTCTGGAAAATATTAATTTCTTTAAAGTACTAGATTATTTGTTTGATTCCACAATACAGAAATTTTCTGAGGAGGACATCTGACCTTTGGATGTATTTTGTGTTGATATTGTCAATAATGTATCGATAACATGGCGGTACTTTTTTTTTTTTGCCTAGGTTCAGGCTACTTTGAACAATGTTTCGAAAATGGGTTTCAAAGAACATTCTGCATGTTGCCATATTAGATGAATTTATGTAATTTAGATTTTCTTATTCATGTTAGTTTCTCTTTAAAGAGAGTTTACAAATAGATTAATTGCTGCAGTATTTTATCTTTATCTTGATGCTTCAAGAAACCTATTGGCAGGAATTATTTATTGACAATCTGAAAATGGTTGTCTTTAGTTTCTCTTTAAAGAGAGTTTACAAATAGATTAATTGCTGCAGTATTTTATCTTTATCTTGATGCTTCAAGAAACCTATTGGCAGGAATTATTTATTTACAATCTGAAAATGGTTGTCTGCAGACGGCTCTGAGGAAAAGTTCAGGCTACTTTGAATCCTATTATTTACCTGTCAGTGAAAAAGTGTCTCCTGATTCAGCCAATTTTCCTCTTGATTCGCTTTTAACCAATTCTTCGCTTCATGGAGAACCAGACGAAACATGGACTTACTTTATTTTGGACATTCCTCGTGGTGCAGCTGGAGGAAATATCCACATTCGATTAGTGTCAGATGCAAAAATTAATTATGAAGTATATGCTAGATTTGGCGGATTACCATCTCTTACAAGCTGGGACTATTATTTTGCCAACAAAACAAGCAGTAGTGTTGGCTCCATGTTTTTCAACTTGTATAATTCAAGTGAAAACAAAGTTGATTTTTACATTTTGTATATTAGAGAAGGTACTTGGGGTTTTGGACTAAGGCATCTCAACACAACCAGTGGTGTGTCCAAATTTCAGACTACCATGTCTATTTCCCTTGAAAGATGCCCAAGACGATGCTCCTCACATGGGAGATGCGATACTAGCTTAGATGTTAGTGGATTAACAACATACAGGTTTATGTTCAACCCTACCCTTATGTTTTTTTCTTATCTAATATGTTTAAATTTAATTTTGTCGAATGTTTTTGTTTTAAATTTCTTTGTTGGAGAGATAGCTGACACCTAGATTTGTAATCTTTCCAGAGTCACTATGATCAGTATGATTTGGTAACATAATTTGTTTTTCTCGCAGCTACTGCTCATGTGATCGAGACCATGGAGGCTTTGACTGTAGCATTGAACTTGTATCACATCATGGTATGTGTTATGTCACATTTATATGAAATTGTTGTCTAGGCAACTGGTGTTTGTTGACTTTTTGTTAACTTTTGTTGCCCTCCGGACTCGATGAATGCCCTCCATTGATCGATCAAACTACTTCGGGGCCATGTTAACTTTCCATAGTTCTTAGCTACGTGAGACAATACTTAGAAAGAAAAAAAAGACTTTGAAGTGGTTTTATTTTATTTAACATAGATATTAATCACATTGCAAACTAGTTCCACGAGTCAGTATTATGCTCAACAATTGTTCTTTTACCTATTTCTCTGGCTGAAAATTGGCATAGGGCACGTATGGCAATCAATTTTTCTTATTGCGTCAAATGCTGCAGCAGCACTTCCTGCCTTTTGGGCCCTTCGACAGAAGGTAATGCTCTTTTAACTTATCTTTGAATTTGATTCACAATAACTAAAGACTTCTTGAAACAAAAAGCAATAATATACTTTGGCTTATATAAGAAATACTCCTTGAAGTGAACAGTTTTTCCCATTAGATTATCTTAAAAGGAGTTTGAACTGATACCAACGAGAGTGAATTCTTATATTTGAAAAACAACAGTGAGGTCTGGTGATTATGAAAACTCAAGTAGGTTCAGTAATTTTTTACTTTTTTAGTGATACCAGGGTAGGTTTCTTGTATTTGTACCAACTCTTTGATAATTGAACCTCAACTACTTATCCAACTGGAAACCTTTTTTTCTTTTCTTTTGACAAGGAGACCATGATTTCTATATATAGGCATTGGCAGAGTGGATAATATTTACATCTAGCGGAATTGCAAGTGGAATATATCATGCATGTGATGTGGGAACCTGGTGTCCTCTGGGCTTCGGAGTTTTACAGGTGCACTTCTTTCTCTCTTTTCCTTTCTTAAAGATATAATTATGGTCAAACCTAGGGGTGGGCATGGGTTGGGTTGGGTCAGTTTTTGTCTCAACCCGCAACCCAACCCAAACATATCGGTTTGTGATTTCCTGGATCCAAGACCCGCTCATTACAAGGCCTACCCAAACCAACCCAACCCTCTTGTGATCGGGTTGGGCGGTTGGGTTAGGTTAACTCAAAATTGTGCCCGTCCCTAGGTTTTGGTCCTAACCCCAACCCAACTCATACATAGCAGTTTATGATTTCTTGGACCCAAGACCTCTCGTTATTAGGCCAACCCAACCTCTTATAATTGGGTCGGTCGGTTTGGTTGGGTTGACCCGAAATTGTGCCCAACCCGAGTCAAACATTTGTTTTACATATTATAGAAAGATAATATTCTCAAAGATTTGGTGTTACAAACTTGTGAAGACACTAGTAAAATAGAATAAACAATGAGAACAGAATATGCAAAATAATGGCAAATGCATAGGGGTATTTGAAGTTAGTGTTCAATTGTTTAAGAGATGGGTTTTTTCGTGTGATAGAGTGAGATCCGTATTATTAAGCAGTAATTTACATTGTGCTAAAGCTCTCTCACCCCATGATGCTTAGTTGCCACAGTATGAATTCTCTCTCTCTTGTTGTTTGTAGTTAGAATAATATTGATTAGTTATCTTGAATTTTCAGTTCATGGACTTCTGGCTTTCGTTCATGGCCGTAGTGAGCACATTTGTGTACCTTGGTACACTCGATGAAGATCTTAAGAGGGCAGTACACACAGCTGTTGCAATCCTTACCGCCCTTATGGCATATACTAAGGCCACCAGGTACCTTCGGTTGATGGACATAAGATTCAGTGCATTTTAAATCATGCATCTAACCATGTTGAACTTTGCAGGCCAGCCAACATTATTCTTGTAATGGCAATTGGCACTGTGGCTCTTCTTATTGGATGGCTGGTAGAATTGTCAACCAAGTGTAGGTCATTTTCCTTTTCGATCAGATTCTCCTTAAATATGCATGAGAGGTGGGTTTCTTAACTATATCAATCATTAAGCATTGCCAAGAAAATTAATTTATTTCAGCTAAATATGCAATCAATACATTAAAAAAGAAACCCTCAAGACATTTGTTAAGTACATTAATTTGATTTGTGGAATAAGTTTCTTTTTCTCTACTAACATTTCATTTTTGAACGACCAATGCCATAAATTTTGTGCACACATATGATATACCTCACTGTCAATTTATGACTGAAGAATTATAATAAAAGCAATCCTTCCAACATTTAGATGTTATTTTGAATTAGCATGGACTGAGCAGGCATCTTCAATGAGCTCAAACCCCGTTTGAGTTTATAGCCCTACTGGATAAGTTGCGGATACCCCTTTGCCCTTAAGTATAATAGAAATTTTGTGGTGCCAATTTTGTAGTTGTGATTATCTATTCCACTTCGTTTTCTAAACTACCAAGGATTACACAGGTTGCAAGCAGTTAGGGGGTGGCTCAAGAATCTTTTTAAGACGATTGTTAGAAGATTTCGCTGGGGCTTTGTACTTGCAGGTGTAACTGCATTAGCCATGGCAGTAATTAGTTGGATACTGGAGAGCAGTGAAAGCTACTGGGTTTGGCACAGGTACCTATAATGAAAATCTCTCTCTCTCTCTCTCTCTCTCTCTCTCTCTCTCTCTCTCATGATTGGTACATAAAATGATCTGCAGCATTTGGCATATCACAATATATACATCTTCCTTCTTCTTCCTTTGCTCAAAAGCAAGTACTGCAAGTACGGTAGATACGGAGAATCAAACACTCCCGAATGGAGCCTATGAGTTGACTCGACAGGATTCATTTCCAAGAGGTCAATAAAAAGCAGAAGAATAGTAAGAGCATTTTTGCAGAGTTAAGGTTATAGAGAGAAGAAATTATATTTTTTTGTTTATAGAGAAAGGTGAGAATTTGCTGCAAAGAGATGAAGACTTGTCCGATTGCATCCCTGAAGCAATTTTCTTGAGAACCAATTAAAAGGCATTTGCTTTTCATGAAATTCTGGCCCCCATTTTCTTTCTTGGTAAAATGTTTTGGGAGATGGTTTGTGAATATCTTTCTGTGTATATAGGCAGTAGTATAAGTTTGGGGGCAGATGAGAAATGTTATTGTAGGCCCTGGGTGGAAAATTGTTACATGAATGACAAAGATGAGTGCGATTTTTGGTCATGCTATTATAAAAAAGGGATATTTCTCAAATGACTTTCTTTTTTAGATCTTTTATGAAAACAGAGCAGTTCAGAATAAGTCTTTTTGACTTGGCTTTTGCTTTGTCAATTTAGATCAAGTCTTCCTGAAACTCTTCTGATTGTCACCGCCTCAATGAGTCGTCTTGCACGGCCATGTGGACCAAAAGATTGTATCAAACGACACAAACCACAACTTTTAAGAAATTGGAAGAGATGGTGACAAAGAAAAAGACAGTAAATAAAAAAATTATTTGGCCCTAATTAAAAGAACACACTCATATCGTTTTCAATACCTTAGACAAAAGCAATAAACCAAAATACACTCGAAATCAGGATTTCCTATTGATCTGGCTGTTCTATACACAAACCAAACCTAACAAATTGCCTTGGGTATGAAAACTAGCTGATTGTGTTTTTTTGTTTCAAAGTGACGGCTTCATATCTATTTTTCAAGAATTTATTTGGCTTCCTACTCAACTTGCTCATGCATTTACTGTATGCTGCTTCTTTGTAAAACCCAAGCCCCTTGGTTTTCCCATTCCTAGTAAACCTTTACATTCCATGGGGAGTCCTCAGGCTCTCACTCCTGTCATGTTTAAGTGCTCATTTGTGAACGAGAGGAAAACGAACGGAAGATTGGAGGTGCCACATCTCTGTAATCCTTACGGATGTTCCAGAGGATCTCTGCGCATCTCCTCATGCTAGGCCGACTCTGTCGGCGTGGAGCCAAGCATTGTAAGGCCAGTTCAAGAATCTTTTCAATGGCTAAATTATTTGCCGCAGTCTGTTCAAGCCTAGGATCCAAAATTGAAAGAGCATCTCCGTCAGTAAACTTCTTCATAGCCTGCAAAACCAACCCAAGTCGCGCTTTACATTCTCGTGTAGGTTGATATGTGGAAGGGATCTTAAATGAAAAAAGAATTTTTGACGAAGATGAAGTTAAGTAATGTGATTAAAGAGTGAAAAAGATAAGGAGTTCACACCCATTTTGCAGTTATCCGTTCCTTGATTTCCCGTTTTGGTTCGATGGGACGCCTGCCTGTAACTAGTTCAACCATTAGTACACCAAATGAGTAAACATCACTCTTATCTGTAAGTTGATAGGTTCTCAGGTACTCTGGATCCAAGTAGCCAGCGGTTCCTTTAACTTGAGTAGAAACATGGGTAGCACCTGAATCGCTATCAGCGGCAAGCCTAGCAAAACCAAAGTCAGCTACCTTGGCCCTGAAGTTTTCTGTTAGGAGAATGTTGGAAGACTTTATGTCTCTATGAATGATAGGATGATCTGTCAAGGAAACCCAAGCATGGTCCAGTTAGTTCCCCCTCACATCAATTCTATAACTCTTAGAGCAGAACAACTTTTATTTTCTGTGCTTCTACCAGAGTCTTACCTGTGTACATATGAAGATAGGTGACGGCATGGGCCACATCAATTGCAATGTCAAGCCGTGCTGCGAGGTCAAGAATGTCACCACGCATACCTGCATTATGCCTTGCATTACATTTCAGGCTCTCAAGGACATGCATCAATGAGGAAAAGTGCACAAAGACACATGCTCTTAACATGAGTATAGACAAAGGGAGAGGGAGAGAGAGAGGGTACACGAATAGAACTTACAATCCAAATGTTCTCTGAGGGTTCCATTAGGAACATACTCAACAACAACAACTTTTTCATCTTCATCCTCCACATACCCATAGAACTTGACCAAATTCAAATGTTCCACCTGTGCCAGCATTCTTATCTCACTTTGGAATTCCACACCCAAATGCTTGTCATATACACTCTGCAAACAAAGGTAACCACGTACTTGTTAGCCATATAATAATCATAAGACCAGAAATTAAATTAGTGTAAATAACTTCTACCCAACCTTTTTAGCACGTTTGATTGCAACAAAGGTCCCATCTTCCAGTCTCCCCTTAAAAACTGTCCCAAAACCACCTTGTCCTATCTTGAAAGAGGGAGAGAAGTTCTTTGTGGCCTTGTTTATTTCTTCCATGGTGAACTTTACATTCCCAGGCTCTCTCTCATGCTTTGAATTGTTTGCATTGGCATAGACGCCACGACTTGAACTACGTCTTCTCTCACTCCCAGCTCCCGAAGCATCCGAAAATACTAAGAAATTAACTAAGTTGTTCAGTTTACGACATAATAAAAAAATAATAAAGGCAAATTAAAAAAAAAAGTGGTTAACTGGTCACTCTAATTCCATTAACAACTTCGACCCCTGCCGTCTGTGTAGCATTTTCGAGAAATAATCCATAATCGCCATTTGCGCTGTTTGGTTGCTGAGAAAATGTTGTGAATGAAAGGAAAACCGCTATTCAAGAATTTAACATATATAAAGTTTGAAAAATCTTGAGGACCAAATGAAACGTCCATTTTAAACTCAGTCTAATGATAATTATCTTAACGTAGAGACATGAAATTTCTAAAATTTCATTTTTCTTTCATTTTTCCACAATGTTTCTCAGCAATCAAACACAACCCAGAAAAGAAAAGCAAGTTTAAGTACCAGATCGTGACTCAGAATCTTAAAAAAGTCTCTACTTTTTCCCAAACTCAGCTAAAACTCGTCAAAATACAGAATTACAGAAATGGAATACCAGATGGAGCTCTGAACTCTGCAGAATCAGCGAAGCTCACGGAACTCTTGGTCTCCGGTGGAGTGAAGCATGAGACGAAGACTCCAGCGAAGGAGCGGGCGGCGACTGCGACCACGCCCCGGCCGGAGCCTGACTTTCTTTCGGCTGAGGCGACGGAGTGTGGCGAGCACGGCGGCG